GGATATAACTCATGGTAAATTTGGGTAGATGTTAACCATAAAGTATTTAATACTGTTACATAGCATTTATTGATAATTTTCAGGTTGGTTAAGAATAATGTGAGTACGTCAGTTAGGAAAAATATGAGCTTTAAAATAATTTTAAGCAATTGCTTATGTTCTCTCTACTAACCCCACCTATCCCACATATAAAAGTCATAAACAAATGTTCCAAAATATCCTAATAGAAACCCTTAACAACATCATTAAAGTGGGCTACTGTGTTTGTTTCCCCTAATTCAATATTTCTCTCTTTGTGTTCTTTAAGACTTGTATCCAGGATATATTGATTTCATTAATAAGTGCTCTGATACCTAGTGCAGTTAGTCCTGGGCACATCTATTGAACACCATTTAATTCTATGTTCTTTCAGCTAAATTTAGTCCTATTTTGAAACAGTGAATTCTGATCTGGATGTGAATTCTGGGAGATTAACTATCTGGCATGGTTTTCAACCTGATCTTGCCACTTTTCTTTGCTAGTAGATTCTGTTTTTCCTTTTCACAGATCATAAAGTTTAGTGATGTACATTCCTGTTACAGGTGCAGTGTTTGCTAGTGGCAGGCAGACTTATCAGTGGTTTTAGCTAAAGTAAATAATTGAATAACTTAATGATTAACCAAAGCAGTTTCTACTAGTAAGTAGAAACCTGTTTTCCCATTTAGCAAAACCTTCAAACTTAAAAGTAATTTAATCTCCATCTCCTTTTAAAACTTTAGTCATAATTTGACCAAAGGAAATGTATCTTGTAGGTAAAAGCTAAAGCCATGTTCTTTTAGAATTTTTAACCTTCTTGATGATCTCTAGATATAATTTTATTAGCAGTTCTATAATTTGAATTCTTAACATTAGATTTGTCTATGAAATATTTCAAATTTAGATACTATGTTACACATGCATGTATTCATCATCAAGATATAACCAAGTAGTGTTAAATATTTAACTATGGTATAAGGAAATGACCTAGGGTGACTTAAACATGGAGATTTTAGATACAGTGGCCTGTGCAGTATACTAAGTACAGGTCCCTGAACACTGAGCACTGTTGCGCTTTTAAGTTGATTTTAACTGAAATTTTTCCCAGTAGGACTCTCACTGCCACTATCACCAAAGGTAAAAGTCAATTTTAAAATAAATACTTCCTTTTATTTATATCTATACTTTTAACAATGTAATTGTCATTTTCTTATTTAACACTTAAACATTCATTAAAATAGATAAATACAATGTAAAAATGTTTTTGGAGTGTGTGCTATGTGTTAGGCACTGTTCCATTTTTATAAACACATATCCCAGCCAACTTTTTGACATAGATGAGGAGGCTGATGATCACAGAGACAAGAAATAACATGATCTTGGTTCAATTCGTGGTGTTGACTCCAAAGTCCAATTGCTTGGTACCATTATGGTGTGCCATCATCCAACTTGTGAACCCTCTGTAAGCCTCTTTCCAATTAGACAAGTTCACATTAAAAAATACTGGGTAACATAACTGATAGATTTGGAAAGTCCTGATGTATAATACTTAAGTAACTGTGGTAGTTTAGTAAATCCTTTCTATCCTTAGGTATTCTTGGGTTTAGAGACTCCCTAATCTTGTGTATTAGATATGTATTTTCTACACATACACCAAATACATATCAGCCTTCTTAACTATACTCTAGCCAAGAAATACTTGTAGACTTCCAACTTAAATAACCCCCATTTCCTCCTCAGACTTTCACCAAAAAAAAAGGATACATTTAGTATATATTGAACTCTTCCTTAAGGCCAAGAACTTTTTCCAAGTCATCTAAAAATGATGTTTTAGTTAACACAAAATAAGTGAAAATTTCTTTGGCTGTATCTTAGCTGATTGAAGTTTTTCTTGGATCTCTTTATAAATATCAAAACAAAATAGACATTGCTTTCATTTTTTGGTATATCAACTCAGTTCTTTATTCAAAGCTGCTACCTTTGTACCATTTAATACCTATTGTTAAATTTAAATTTTGGCTTTGAATTTAATAGGCTTTAACCACTAAATTTAACTATTACAAGTCTACCTCATATTCTCCCCTAATATCCTCTTTCTTGTCATAGTTGATCAAAAATGCAGCTCTGGAAATGGTCATCCGTGTGTATCTACTCAGCAGGTTATAGGGGGGTCAATCTTAGAGAATAAGATTATAAAACATACACTTCTTGAAGTGTCCGTCTTTGCCCTTCAGTATGTGTTCCTTCATAAAATGCCTTTGTATAAAATTTAGCATTTTTCAAACTGTAATTTGTTTATGTTGACAAGTTGTAAAGTCTTTATCTGTAGAAATATAAATATCTTGTACAAAGATGTTAGCTTTAGTATTAGACCTCTAGACCAATAAATGAAATATATCAGTCTGGATTTGAGTTATGGGTTGGTTCATATAATTTTGTGAGTCCATGAATAAAAGTTTCTCCCTTTATTTCTATGCTATCTGCTTTATTATACCCCAAATTTAAAGAGCTCTAATGCCTAACCAGATATTATTGCCTGAAAAATTCATGTCATGACTGTTTTTTATCAAGTATTGGAAAAGACCCATAAGTGACAGTGATTGGGAATGGGGCCAAAAAGTGAAAATGTTTTTATTTTACACCTCATGAAAGCATCAAAACATGAGATACATGCGACTAGGAGGAAAATCAAATGTCACTATTACTTTGTTTTCAGCAGTTATTGATGACCTACTGCATTCTTCCTTACTAACTAGGTCTGCAATAGGAGTGGTAGTTTAATATGACTTTATAGAAGTAAATTAATCAAGAAATATCTATTGTATTTGATTTTTAGGTAGATACATTTTTAAGTGAAGTGGCATGTTCTTTTTAAATTTTTAATCTTCTTGATATCTAAATGTTACTTCTATAAGATATTAGTTAAGACTTTTGGGGGAATTGGGGTTTGAATCTAGGACCTTGCAGTAAGCAGGAGCTCTACCACCTGAGCCACACCTGCAGCTCAATAGAAAGGTTTTTATTTAACCTTTATATACTGCTCAAAACAATATTTACATCTTGCTAGTTCTTCCCTTCATTTCTTCTTCAGCTGTTTCTTGCAGTGGGCCCTTCTCTTGTATTATTTGTGAAGTCAGTTGAGGATCTACTCCCATGCCACCCTGGGGGAGTAATAATAATATCTAATCAGAACTGACCTTAGTGACTCTGAACCAAAATCTGGGTATGTATGTAGATTTTAGCTTTTTTCTTGCTAGATTATGGGGCTCTCTGAAGAGTTCTGGAGGAAGGAACAGAGTAATGTGCCAGCAAGAGTGGAGTGGCGTTAGCTATAGCTATTACCCAACTGGAATGGAAAAAGGTTTGATATTTTGATTATTGGTAAGGTCACTCTGGTGCCACTTTGTCCCACCCTTGTTTAAGGAAATGTTAGTGTGAGGTTTCTATAGTCAAACACCTGCTATCCCTGTGAGGTGAACCACTTTCTCTTGAGCACCTCACACAGTTGGCAGTGATGATAACTGATCAAGCTTTTCTTTTGGGGAAGGCATCTGTTTTCCTCTGGCAGAAATGCTAGAAAGTTATGAAATAGTAAATTTGTCAAATTTTTCTTGGTGTGTAGCAAGCATAAAGACTGAACATTTCTTATGAATTAGTTCACTTCCCCTAGATGTATTATTTTGTAAGATTGGGATGACCCAAACTGTACTCACTCCTAGTCCAAGTTTATAAAAGCTTCTTATTTACCTCACAAAGAAGGTAATATGTTATTCATTTTTCATTCACTGAACCCATATTTATTGAGAAATTTCTATGAACTAGATATCTTTCTGGTTTGGGGTGGTAGAAGGGAGGAAAAAGATTATCAAGAGCTAAGTTTTAGACATGCTAACTTGAAGTGGCCTTAAATGTTAAGTGGAGATTAGAATAGTGGTCCAGGATGGAGATGTGAGTTTGAAACTCACCAGCATATAAATAATAGTTAAAAGCAAGAGAACAGATGAGTGCATCAGGAGGATAAGCAAAGATACCTAGGTGAATATGTCCCAGGACTGAGTCCCAAGTCTCCTTGATATTGATCAGAAGATGAAAAGTAATGAACAATGATAACTTACTAGTCAGACAGCTTGGGTCTATGAAGAGTAAGGAGTATGGTATGCTAGAATTTAAGAAAAAGAATCTTTGCAAGGCAGTCAACTGTGTTTAATGCTAACAAGTCAAATAAAATGAATTTTGAGAAGTGACCACTGATTTGTTTGTGGTCAAGGCCATTAATGAGTTTTGACAGAAAGTTTTAATGGATCAAGGGTTGGGAAAAGTTTAATTGGAGGGACTCAAATGGGAAAAGAGAAACTGGAGGCACAGCTATGTACAACTCTTAGCAGTTTTATTGTAAAAGAAAGAGCAAAGATGATATGCAACTGGTCAACAGGCATCAGGCAGCCCGCTGAGCAGGATTGCCCTAGGGTGTACTGTAGTCACCAGTTGTGTGAGCAGTAGCTGTTTGTAGTCTTAACCTCAAATGACCTTACCTTGGGAGATACAGATTTTTGAAATGTTTTTCACTGACAGATTGGTACTAAAAAGAAATTGATTAATGAATCTATTAATGTGCAAGTAAGTCTTTCATTTTTTATCCTTTACTTTACATCCAATCATTTCTTTAGATTTTTCTTTGAAAGTTTTTGACGGTATTACATAGAAACCTTCTATATTAAAACTTGTTACTTACATGTTAGTCTTTTGTCCTATCCTTTCTTTAAGAAAGGACATATTTTATTTTTCTTTACCTACTCATCCCATACCCTAGCTTCTGCACATGGCATATGCTATCCTCCAAAAATAAGTGATTTTTAAATGAATTGCTATTATGTTCCATTTCGGTGTTATGATGTGTTTGCTATAAAGTTCAGTGCCTTCCTAAAATTTGCAGCTTTTACAATTTCTAAATACAGGATTATGTTTGGTCATTTTGTTTTCTGCAGAGTCTCTGTGAAGCGGGCATAGTGAGGACAGGCTCGCTGCAGCTCAGTAGTTCATCTGGGAATTCGTCTTTGAAAAGGACAAAACGAAAAGCACCATCACCACCCTCCAAAATAGCCCTGCATCAAAGTGATGAAAATAGTCACGTGACTGGTAATGCTATTTTCCTCACTAACATTACATTTTTATTGCATTTTTTTAATATAGAAAATAGAAACTATATAGGTCATAACTTAGTTCTTGTTATTAAATGATAACACTTAGGCTTTAAAATAGTCCCTGATTATTCTCACTTACTGCTTTTTAAAAATCTACAACATAAAATGGAAACATTGTACAGCTTCGTTATCCTAAAATGAGCATGTTTTAGTGTTTATTGGGAGAGAGAGATTGCCATTCCAGGATTATTAATACATGTAGGAATGGTAATCTGTAAAATTTAGTACTGTCACAACTAGATGGTAAAAGGACTTCTACAAGACTTGTAGTTATATAAAAATAGCAAGCAAACTATTAAGGAGTTGTCTCATGTGTGAGTATGATTTATTTACAAATTGCATTGCTTCTTTCTTTCCGCCCTACAATCAGAAGATGGAGCTTCTCCAGACAGTGCTTTGGAAGCAAATTCTCCTGAAGGACTGCCTAGCCCGGGTATGACACCTTTACTCCGTGTTATGTGATTATTGACGGTTGAGAGCGGAAGCTAGTTAGAATGCCTTGGGTATAAATTTCCCAAAACTTAGGTCATGACCTGGATTCTCTTTCCTTCCTCTCCTCCCTCAGGATTAGAGATTAGAGTATGAAACTGGCAGAGTTGAAAATTTCAGTCCCTATTTTGTCTCCTGGGTTTTTTTTTTTGTTTATTTGTTTGTTTATGCAATGTTAAGTGGACATTTTTTAACCTCCTTCCCAAGAGTGATGACACATTATAGTTAGCAATGTTACCTTGGTGTGTTTAGAAGAAGACTTACATTTTAAGTGTAAGCAGTTTCTTTAGGCAAGTATTCAAGGTATGAATTCAACATACAATATATACTTACTCTAATGATAAAACATTGTTACCATGAATATACTTCTATTATAAAATTCTCATTTTGGATTCTCCCCTAATAGAATTCTAGTAAAATTTAAATAATTCAATCTAGCACTGTTTCCAATGTCTTCAGTAATAGCTACTTATAACTCTTGTAAAAATGATAAATTTTCTTACTCTTAGAGATAATGGTAAACATAAGTAAAGGTGACAAACTAGTAATATAGAAAAACAGAATATTTCTATAGTACTTTAGGATGGGGATTATTTGATAAGTATAAAAACTGCCTGATATAACTTAATCGTGGTATACATTTTATCGTTTACATTCACAAATACAGGAAAAGTTCAGGAGTAGCTGAACTTACTGTTTTTGTGTTGCTAGAACCCAAACCCAGGGTCTCCCACACACTAAGCAAGCACTCCACCTCCAGCTACATCTCCATCCTGAACCTGAACCTTAAATCTTTATGCGGGATTTAGGAGTTTGAATTTTAACATATAAGAGGATTCTTAGATCCTCTGTGACTTAAAATATAACTATTATTTCACTACTCATGATTTTTCTCAGAATAATATCAATGATATCATTTTATTCCACCAAGAAAATTTATTAAGTAATGTTAATACCTTAGATTATGTAGTCAAATTAGGACATTCTGAAGTATTAGAAAAAGGTGTGCATGCAACTCAAACTTTGCTTAATAATCATTTTTCTCCTTTTGTTCCATTTTTACCTTTTCATGCTTCCTGTGTGGATTTTTGTGAGCTAACAAATCTGATTGCTTCCAACATGCTTTTTTGGACTTTGCTTGCCTTAACTCTGTTGTCCAAGTGCCATTTCTACAGACTGTACTTCTTTGGCAGATGCCTCCCTCGGCCTTGGGCTCCTCAGTCACCAACAGTGCACTGCACCCAAACTGATGGATGAAACCTCTCTCTTTGAGGGCCGTGGAACACCTGAAGCAGCTGTTGCGTCCTTGACATGTAGGTGGTTAGGCCTTTCCTGGCTGGTGCTTTATTTTATGCAGATTAAGATGTCATCAAATGTTGATTTGGTTACTTGTTAAATAAGTCCTTCTGTGAAAATTGGTTCATGAAGAAACAGGAGAGTCCTTTTTTTTTTTTCACTTGAAATTTTATCCAATGTTAGAGTTCGCTGTTTTCCTTAACCATCTAAATGAATATGGCAGAGTATAAGAGTAATAAATTAGTGTTCTGAAGGTTTTCACCTTTTCTTGTATTTGGCTCTCAACTTTTTTGAGGGAACTGTTAAAACTTTATTAGTTTTCATGAATGACTACACATAATACATATTAAAGAATATTTACATATATTCTTTATGGAACAATTCTTTTGTTACCTATGTATGACTTATTTCCTAAAATACTATGCTTTTTCTATTTTATAATTGGTATTTTGTTACAAGATGGAAAAGCTTTATAGTTAATACTTGAATTTTATCATAATGTACCCAATTTTTCAGTGATTCAGAAAAGCTACCACTTCAAACTAGTTATTTAATATGCTATCACACACTGCTTATGGGAATGCAAAATTGTATGAATATTTTGGAAAATAGCTTGGCAAGATTTGGGGGGAAGGGAGAGGTGGTGCTGTGGATTAAACCCAGGCTTTTGTGCAAGCTAAACATGCAATCTGCTATTTTACTATAATCCCAGCCCTTGGCAGTGTTTTTGAAAGTAAATTTTAAATATTCATTTTCTATATGACCTAACAGTCCTACCCCTAGATATTTTCTTGAGTAAAGTGAATGCCTATGTGTATGTAAAAACCTGTGTGTGTGTGGTTTGTAATTATAATTGCCAAAAAGGAGAGAGGCAATCCAAATGTCCGAAAACTGAGGAACAGGAAACAAACTGTGGTTCATCCATTTATTGGAACACAGTGCTGCTACCCAGCCATGAAAAGGAATGAATACTGATCCATACAGCAATGTGGAGAAAGCTTGAATGTATTGTTAAATGAAGAAGCCAGACTCAAGTGTTTAGATTCTGCATGCTTTTGTTCAAAGGACATTTTTGCAAAGTAATACTGTAGGTATAATTGTTACCAGAGGTTGGATTTGACGTAGAGATTAGTTATGAAAAGCTTGGAGGACTGAGGTGCTGAATGTAATTTTCTGTCTTGATTATGGTGGGAGTTGCTCAAGTACATTGTCTGTCAACATTCGAAGAACCATTTTTCCAAAAATGGTGAATTTTACTGAAAAGAGATTGTACCTCATTTTGTAAAAATGAAAGGGAAACGACTGACAGAAACTACAACTACAGTGCTCTGATGCAGTGAGCAGTTTTGAATAAATGAATAAGGAAAAAAAGTAGTGTATTGAATAGGATTAATTTAATGTAATTATATTTTAGCAAAAGAATAGTATTTGTCAGGCAATTTTGCCATTTGGATGATTCTCAGGAAAAATATATTAGGTGTCTGAAATCTTAGTTAAATTTAAAGCTTTAATAGCTTCATAAGTAAAATGCTAGACTTAGAAAAATATCATTTGAAAGCTTAAATAGTTCTTTTCCATGTATTTCACTTCTTAAGCTTTAAATAATTTTTTTAATTTTGTTTTTTCAGTCAATATTTGCTGTCCTAAAAGAAACTTAAAAAATTATGATAAAATATTCAAATTATGTAAAGCTAAGTATGTAAACAAAATTTCAATAATTATGTTTTCAAATGATTTTAAAATATTTTTAATGTTTGTGTTTTGGAAGTTATAAAAATAATTTGATTTTGGACATTGTTTTTTGAAAGTGAATTTTCTTTTTTTTAGAACTTACAAAGCTAAATACAATAGTTGTGATATAATATTCGAAAATTATTTGTCATTCACAGTCCCTACCCCTACTTCTTTTACTGCAGTTCCAGAATTTGGCCAACTCATACAAAAACTTGATTTGTCTTCAAAGCAGGGGAAAAATCTGTACTAGCCAAATAGCAGACTATGAAAATTCTCTTGGATGATTAGAAATTTTTAGAAGAATCATTTCCTTTTCAAAGGCTTTTAATTATAAGAATGCTTTTCAAGCTAATAAAAACTATGCATATTTAAGGAAGTCTATATGATGCTTGTAACTACCAAGTTGTAAAATACCAGAAAAATATTTTGGAAAGATTTTTGAAGCCTGTAACTTATGCTTCATAGCTTAATTAATTGAGTCCAGATTCTCAGGGGCATTCATACTTAAAGAAAAGTATATCCCTGAAGTTATAAGTGTGAAAGAAATAAGGATATGACCAGCAATTTTCCAAGTGTTTCCTCAGTTAATGTAATTCTAAAAGAGCTTAATATATTCTAAGGGTATCATTTATAAAACATATTTACATCTAAATCATTGTGGCCTTTCATTTTTCTCAGTACACATTTTTCAGATTGTACAGATACAGTCTCACCACCTCGATGCAGTGTGACACCATAGACACATCTTGCACGATGGCATCCTACTATTTCACATGTCGGGATAAAGCAGTGTTTATCAAAATATGCATAGTTGCAAATTGACTTAGAATTACTTAATATTTTCTTCTGAGTAATCTAATTTTATTCGCAAAAAAGTAACCCATTTTTGTTTGTTTGCCTATTTTTGGATTTGTTTTTATTTTGAGACAAGATCTCACTATGTTGCCTAGGCTGGCCTGGAACTCCTGGGTTCAAGTCATCTTCCTGCCTTGAGTAGCTGTGGTGGCATGTGTCACCAAGACCAGTTTTATGTTTGTTTGTTAAGGAACCCAAATAGTACACTTTTCTGTCTATATACCTAACGATAATTTAAAGAAATACATTTTAAGTACTTTATGCTTCAAATATCTTAAACTTTTTGCCAAGTTTTGTTGATGTGCTGATCACTACAGTGTAATGCTACGTTACCTTTCCCCTGCTTTTCTTCTGTAAAATTAAACTTCAGATGCTATTATGTAAATAGAAATGTTTAATTTATTTAAGTGAAAATCCAGAACCTCACTATATGGTTTCAGTTTACTTTCACAGCTAATCTTGACAGTAAGTATAGACCCTAGCTGCTTAGGAGGTCCCCTTTTTCACCTTGCTGTCATTGGTTATTGGTACTATGAAATAATGATAAAAAATATTTTAAATACAGTAGAATATGAGTCATGATTCTTGAAAAGAATTATACACACACATATCTATATTAATATGGGATGGTATTTAAGATATGTTAAGTGGAAAATATGACCAAATCATTGGGTATAAATACCAAAATAAAAGCAGGAAATATGAGTGGATGTCTGCTAATTAGAAAGCATAACAGGTAAAAGGTGATAAAGGAAGTTGCTTTTGAGAATCAAACTGGGTAGTGAGCCTGGTACAGTAGTACACAACTGTAATCCGAGCCCTTAGAAGTTGATGCAGGAAGATAGAGAGTTCAAGGCTAGCCTGAGTTAGTAAACAAAATCCTGTCTGGAAAAAGAAGATCAAAACTGGGTAGGAATACAAATTAATTCTCATTGTTTAATACTTATTCTTTTAATTTTTTAAAAATACATAAACATTTAGATAATTGGCTCTTGATCCTAGTTGCACTCTAGAATCATCTAGAGAGCCTTAGAAAGTCTTGGCCCCACCTTTTAGAGATTCTGACTTAGTAGCTGTGGACAGTGCATGAAGGTCAGGATTTTCAAAAACGACGTGGGCAATTCTCAGTTATAGTCAATGCTGGTAACTTCTGAGTCAATCTGTAGGTGTACTTGTAGACAATACAAAAAGCTCCTATTCCTTTCATTTGCATTTAATTTGCATTATTGAGTTATTGCATGAATGTAAAATCATTTAAATGATGGATTTATTTCTAAGTGAAATAGTTTGAAGTTTATGAGATTAAATAATCCTCCACGGATAAAATCTACAGTGATAGCACATTGTTTGAGTCTGTGAATTGTAAGATTCTGTGATAATGTGGTTGCCTGTGAACATGATTATTCACCAATATAAAATTATTTCACTATCAGTTCTGAAACAGATTTTAAAATACCACCTAATTATTATTTTAAATGTTCCTTATTAGGATTGTGTAGAATGAATGAGGCAAATTAATATTTATAATTTTGTCTGCATCTCTTCATAGCTGGAATAAGCTCTGATTATAGTCTTGAAGAGATAGATGAAAAAGAAGAACTGAGTGAAGTGCCTAAAGGTCAGGCTGAAAATATTTCCCTGAAGTCATCTGACATTCCTTGTGCATCTACTGATATAACAAATACATTAAAAAGTGATTCTGACTCAGCCCTTGGCATCAGTAATGGAGATGCCTCACAAAACTCCAAGGAAAAACACCAAGAAACTAGAAACACAGATGGACAGTAAGTAGTTGGTGTGTTAGAAGTGTTTGCTGAGGGTGTGTTTAGTTAATGCTATTCTTCTGCAATATAGATCTGATATTTTAAACACAAATGTAGTCAGACCTTTTGTTTGGACTCCATCCCTCTTACCATCCTTATAAGAATTTTTACTGATAAAGTATCTATTTGCATGTAATAGTATTCAAAGAAAATGAAATTTAAGAGTTCTAACATCCCTATATAGGATAATGTATAACATGTAATTAATTTGCATGACTCAAAACTTAGTTTTTTTGCTTATTTTGTCTATTTTTGACATTTAATTTTTTTGATTTTCCTGAAGTGCACCTGAAGGATTTTCACTGACTGGAATATGAATACAGTTCTGCATATCAGAGTATGAAGTTAAATCACTAGCATTGTTTTATAGTCATCTTTATGATTTAGGAATGTACTTTCCATTTTAGAAACTGAAAGCTAGTCCACTTACGTTATGTTTGAAATGCAACACCATAAATAAAGATGAAACCAGCCAAGCAAAATAAACTATCTTCATCAGAGGCTTATCATAATTTGCATGGAATTTTCCCCAAATTAAACTATTCTATCACCAGAAAAAAAAATCAGTAATGACAATCCACATCCTGATTTATGTGGTTGACTGTGCTATATGCAAGACAAAAATGTTTCATTTAATTTCCTTTTTCTTTAAAAGACAAATAGCCAATAACAAAATAAAGATACATTTTGGGAAAAGTGTCCATTTTCCCATGCTTCCTACATCTTTCTTTGTAATAGGACAACTGTGTGAAAACTGTTTCATAGCGGCATTTCCTCTCAGTTGTATTTTTCTTTGCTTTTCAATTTCCAGTATTTGGCAGAAAAAGGTGATTATTTCAGCCCATCTGTCTTTGGAAATTGCCTATTTTCTCATGGTGTGTGTACGTGTCTTTGAATAATATCCATATATAACATATAATATCATATCTTGCAGAGGGGCGAACAGTACTGCACATGATACAAGCAATGACAATATGGTAGCTGACCATGTAAGAAACTTGAAGTCACTGGGCCCAAACCAAGAGAATGGTAAGTGATATAAACGAGATGGTATCCAACATGATAATACACTGTGATGTGCAAGGATGTTTCTTAACATATAACAACTCATTTCCTCTTGTACATTGACTTGTTTCATATCTACCTTATGGGAACTATTAGTTTTAGACCCATTTTTTAGATGATTAAGTCACAAAGATATTATATCTCACAACTAGTAAGTGGAAGATGTAAGACTTGAATTCAGACAATACTATGCCAAAGTGTGCTCTTAACTATCATGTGCAGTAGTTTTGATGTTTTTCTTTTTTCTTTTTTCTTTTATTATTCATATGTGCATACAAGGCTTGGTTCATTTCTCCCCACTGCCCCCACCCCTCCCTTACAACCCACTCCGCCCCCTCCCTCTCCCCCCCACCCCCTCAATACCCAGCAGAAACTATTTTGCCCTTATCTCTAATTTTGTTGTAGAGAGAGTATAAGCAATAATAGGAAGGAACAAGGGTTTTTGCTGGTTGAGATAAGGATAGCTATACAGGGCATTGACTCACATTGATTTCCTGTGCATGTGTGTTACCTTCTAGGTTAATTCTTTTTGATCTCACCTTTTCTGTAGTTCCTGGTCCCCTTCTCCTATTGGCTTCAGTTGCTGTTAAGGTATCTGCTTTAGTTTCTCTGCGTTAAGGGCAACAATTGCTAGCTAATTTTTTAGGTGTCTTACCTATCCTCACCCCTTCCTTGTGTGCTCTCACTTTTATCATGTGCTCATAGTCCAATCCCATTGTTGTGTAGTTTTGATGTTTTTCAATCTTAGAAATTATCTAACTTAAATTTTGTTTTTTAAAGTTGTATCCTCTGTGCTTCTATTTGTAATCTGTTCTTTTTTTTTTTTTCTTCTTCTAATTCCCTGGTGCAAGCCCGTTTTACTTCATACTCAAATTGCTACATTTTGGATAAACCTTGTCTGCCTGATTTTTAAGACACAAACTATCTAATTATGTAACTTTATTTACCACTATTTCCCATTCCCAAATCAAGACAGTTTCTTCTTTTTCTCATGATATAATTTACTGTTTTATCTTTTGACCTATGCTCTGGCTATCTTTGCATAGAATACAATTTTCCATCAACTTCACCCATTCAATACTAACCAAATCCTACCACTTCATTTATTGTTTGATTTCTAGAAGCCATATGGTTCTATATCTCTGACTCCTCAACTGAATCAGGCAGTCTTGAATCATAGAAATCACTTTGAGTGAAATCCTCATAAAACTTAACAGAATACTGAGACATAGGATTGAATTTCAAAAATAGAGTGCATAGAAGAATATTCAAGTAATATACAATGTTATATTTTTTAAGGGAATAACAAGGAAGTGGTTTAAGAATGCTTATATTCCAATCTATTTTAATAGATTTACGATTTGTAGAAAAGATAGCGCTCTAATATTCATATTTGGATAAAAATTGATAGAACAATGTCATATGTATGATATATATGTATGTCATATATGTATATTGTATTTATATGTCTCACACTTGCCATGAAATTTTATTTGTGTGGTATAGTCAAATACTCATTTTTCCACATGTCCAGTAACATTCTAAGATACTGAGAAGTTCTAAAAGTAAATAATTTCCCATTTTCTTCTTGATTCAGTTTTCCTCTGGATATGCTCTGAAGGCAGTAGAATTCCTATTGACAATTCATGATTTAAAATCTATTTATTTCCTTAAACATCAAACCATTTTTGCTTAGATTTTGACATCATGTTAGTACTATTGTCACAAGAACATTTATATAATATTTACTTTGATTTGCACTAATATTTGTTAGTATTTAGTTGATGTTTAAAAATGTTATCTTTAAAGTAGTTTTAAGATGTTAGTGTTAGTTTTGAAGGAAAGGACAGGATAGTACAAAAGCTATCTCTCTCTCTCTACTGGCCTTCCTTGAAAATGATCTAGCCATTCTTAGACACTTGGTGAGTGTTGTCAGGTATATATGAGGATGGATAAGCTAATAAATTCAGGGACAAGTCTGGATTTCCCAGTCTGAAATCATGGGGAATAATTATGAAATGATGAGAAATTCAGAGTTAGGCAATGGTGAAGTAGGTGTAACCCTCTGAAAATGTGGAGAACAGAAATTTGGAGTTCAAAAATAGATAAATTAGTATTTCATATTAGGGATTTAATTTAAAATATATTTTACACTGATCTATTTTCTGTTAGAAAATGTTTCTGTTGTGTGCACTGGAAAATACCTAGATTTAGTAGAAAATGAGAAATAAGCAAGAGAGAAAGAAATACAGTTATGTCTGTTTTCTGCTGCCAGAAATCATTTCTTAAATTCTGTGCTCATTATAGTGTTCAGGGTATTGTCTTTCTTATAAATATTAGATACTTAAACCAGGTAAGGTAAGAGAAGAAGCAGAAATGGGTCTTTTCTCTGGTTCCTAATTGCATTTGTTCTCAATTTTTAAATCACAAATGGTAAGTTATTGGTCATAGGAAAAGAAGTCACTCAAATAGATGATGTACAATCTGACAATCAGTTGAATTTTATTTGGGAGGGATAAAAATAAACTTCATTTTAAAATTAAAAAAAATAGGAATCTTATAATACAATAAAGAATATTAACTGCCATATGCATATAATTGTGTAATTAGACCTGACTTTTTTTGTTGTTGGCATGCATATCTTTCTTTTTAACTGAGGAACTCTTCTTTGTGGCTCATTCAAGTTTTAGGTGATGCATTTGATGTTGTATTCTTTTTAGGTAAAAGTGTTTGATGATAAAACTATACAGAAATATTTTCTATCCTTTCATGATTTGACCCCCAAGACTCATAATTCACTTGTGCTGTGCAAACTATTCCCACACCTGAAAAGCAAAGCCACTATGGTTTTAGAAGATGAGAACTAGTCTTGCAGAAGTGATTTCTTGGTACATTAGAATCGAGGGACAATGTGTAAATCACTTGGGATTAGAAGGCAGAGTACACATGTGTGATACTCCCATACTTCCAGAGGCTTCATTCCTGCTCTTTGCCATCTTGTTGTTGACTACAAACTGTTGTCTCATCAACCCAGACACTAGCAAATCATTTTTGTTTTCTGGAAATATAAACTAGAATCTAGAGGAGAAATTGTCCAGGGTAGAGAAACATTGTTTCCATCATTGGTCCCTGACACTAGAAGTATCAGCCTGCCTTTTTCACACAGAGGAAAATCAAAACCAACATGACTGTTTTCTGTCATTGAAACTACCCATCTTGTGGCTAAAAACAAATTCTTCTAAGAGTCTTTAGCCAACAACACCCAACTAACAAAACAATCAACTTAAATTGTTTTTATTTAAAATCTTAAAGGTGATATTTTCTGGTTTCTGCCTTAATTAAAACCAACATTCACTGGGATTGTTTTAATGTTAGGTAAGAAATATAAACACACTAGGGACTATCAACAAAAGTCTAATTGAGAGGAAAAAATACCATTTTTTAAAAATTTGTCAACTTTGTTATTAACAAAGATGGAAATATGAAGTCTTTACGTATAAGAAGGTACACAGGTGTCTTTTATGGAGTGCTTGTTCTAGGCACAATCCTAAGAAGTATGTTATTTTATATAAATTATATATACTATAAAATACACATTTTCACCTTTTTACATCTGAATGAAATGAGAGTCAAAGGGGTTATTAATTGATATGAGATATCAATTAATGAGATATTTTCATGCTCCAGACCTTTGCATGTGCACAACCCATACCATTTTCTCTGTATGCCACTACTTGCCTTTTTTAAATTAGTGAGCTGAAAATTATCTGTAGCATTCAAACCATCCAATACAGATAGGTGAGTCAGACATTGAAAACTTGAGTTTTTCTACTTTTTATGTACTTGACAATATTTTATCTCTCAATAGTTCAAAATGAAATAATGGTCAATACAACAAAGACAGAAGATAATGTGAAAAACAGAATGAAGAGAAAAGAAACCAATGTAGAAGGTGAAGCCACTAATAAAGATACTGACATGGAAATTGACAGATTGTCAAGCTATTCCACATGTAAAACTCATAGTGCTGTAAGTCCTAAGGAAAATCATCTAATAGTGTCATCAGTAGCAGATCAAAAACTGAGTCAACCTAGCATAGGAAAAACAAAAATGCAAGATGCAGCAATTCAGACAACTCCTTCCTGCAACAGTTTTGAAGGACATCACCAAGATCATAATTTATCTGACTTCAAAGTTGATGAAAGTGTACAAACTTCAAATAACAAATCAACCCAACACTCATCCTTAAGTCTACAACATTCTCTAGATATCTCAAGAGAACTCAGGAGTCAGGGCACCCTAATACATTCAGAAGAAAAACTTGCTATAAAAGACCCAATTTGTGCATATGGCAATGATGATCTTTTGTCTCCTGTAGATGGAATTGATAAAAATTCAACTGTTTCCTACCTGAAGAATTTTCCACTTTACAGACAGGACTATAATCTCAAGCCAAAACCTTCAAATGAAATCACAAGAGAATATATACCCAAAATTGGAATGACTACTTATAAAATAGTGCCTCCTAAATCCCTGGAAATAGTGAAAGACTGGGACTCAGAATCCACTGGGTATAAAGATGATGAAAAGACACGTGATTTAGGAAAGAAGTGCACTTATGAGAATGTGAAAGAAACTGCCATGCAAACAGAATACCTTGTTACTTCTGATGGTTCAAAGGAGCCACAGCTAGACCTTAAACCAAAGCCTAACTTGAGAACAGAGCATCCATTGCACAGGACTGTGAGCTTACCTGATGGTGCCATGACAAATCCTCTGAAACCTCCTAGAATGACTAGAGACACAGGCACAGCTCCTTTTGCACCAAATTTAGAAGATATAAACCATATCTTGGAGTCAAAATTTAAATCTCGGGTTTCAAATCCCCAGGCCAAACCAAGCTCATTTTTCTTGCAGATGCAGAAGAGAGTGTCAGGTCACTATGTGACATCTGCAGCTGCCAAGAGTGTCCATATTACCCCTCCTCCTACCCCCAAAGAACTAACAAATAAGGAGATGGAAAGTAATGCCCAGCCTCCTCCAGAACAGACTCTTTCTTCCTTAAGTAAAACAATTCCTCCTGTCTTACAATCCCATCTTACAAAGGCTGATGTCAGTGTAGTCAGCCAGAAGCCTGCCAACACCTCTCCTTCTCCCATAGCTCC